TTTTTTTTTTTTTTTTTTTTTTTTAACTTTACTGGGTATTAAAAGGACAAGAACAGACGTCGGGGACCCCTCACAATTCAACCCGGATTGCTGAGAAAAAAACAGTTCCAGCATCCTATCTTGGGTATCAGACTGGAACGCAGTTCCAGTGTCCTCAGAAGAAGAGACAGAAAAAAACAGGCTGGAAACCAGACCAGGTCCAGCGTCCTTTCCAACAACAACAACAAAAAAAAAGCCTTCTAGTAATTCTAGCATCTCTGCATATGACGGAAGAAAATCGGGTCCGGCACGGCGTCCCTTTTTAGATTCAATGACATAGGCTAAGCTTTCTGATAGCCTTATGCGTTCTTTTGCTCCTCAGTGCCGTTACGAGCTCAGGAAGAAGAGACCTCAGACCTTCTCAGCCTGATGGGCTGCCTGCTGAATCCATAATGCCTTAGGCTACCGTCTTCCCCCGAACACAACACACCCTTATTTTGGCCGTATCTGGCCGGAAATATGGCTTGTATACATTCAATTTTAGGGTGCCTTATGTTCGGGGGAACACGGTAGGTCTGTGAGTGGGTGGTGGTCCCAGAAGAAGAGCTCCGAGTACCTGAGCTTGTCGCTGTCATCGAAGTAGGGCCAAGAGGGTAGAGAAGCCCACTTGGATTGGAAGCGAATCTTGGGAGATTCTGTCGAGCCTGTTTGCTTCTTGATTTCGACCCACTCGGACATGACATCTTGTCTGATAGCATGCTTGTATTCTGCGAAGATAGAGCCCAGGGTGGCTCCTTTCTGAGAAACGATTCAGTCTCTCCTAGCTAATTCCCCCCCCCCCCGGTCCATTCTTTCGAGTTACGCGGATCCTTTCCCATCCCACTGGGGTCTTCACTACTGTGTCTCCTTGTGTCTGCAGACTCTGCACCGACCGCGAGCCTGCGAGTTCCCATTCTGTTACTTCCACCTGTCCATTCCCTATTTATTTTTTTTATTCTGATAAAGGAGGACATTGCCGGGACCTTCCACCACTGCAGGTCTTCTTAGTCCTGGCTCGGTGTTTTGAGAACATCTACCCATGAGTCTGGGATAGCTTTTGTTTGATGGCTTGTCTATTCTCGTCGATCCTGAGCAGATTTCCTAGCTTTGTTCTGAGCTCTTCTCTGCTCTTCCAGACACCTTTTTTTTTTTTTTTTTACAGACACCTGTCTATGTCTGTCTATCAAAAGTTTTTAAACTTAAAAGTTAAAATTTTTGTATTCAGAACGTAATCCAAAAACGGCTTTCCAAAAAAACAATTAAGAAAACTTTCCTCGATAAAACTTGTCCACAAGAACTGTATCCGAAATGATTCGAAAAAAGCTTATCCACAAAAAAAGTTACGGAAAACTTATCCAAAAAAAACACTTTCCAAAAAAAACTTTTCCAAAAAAAACTTTCCGCCTATGCTCGGTTCTGTCCATTGTACAGTCTTTCATTGTCTTTTTTTTGTTTCTTTTTTTTTTTTTCTTTTTAAGCCTGGGTAGTACAGTCTTTCAAATTGGACCAGCGTTTCAGAGAAGTTTCTAGCACTGTTCAGTACTACT